AATACTCAGTATGAGCAGACAGGTCTCTACAAGTTTGGTTTACTTGTTAAAATCTGGTTCCTTCTTTCAGTAACATGAAATCCTCTATGGTAGCATTTTTCTCTTACCCTTGGGGGCTTTTTTTTTTGGACCATGGTTTTTCTCTGTAGTCCAGGCTGGCCTCAAAGTCACACTAATCCTCCTGCCTCAACTTCTGAAACACTGGGATTACGGGTGTGTATCATCTTGACTGGTTGCAAGGTTCTTGAAAAATACATCAACTCCTAATTATGCAGCAAAATTTCCTAAGCTTTTTGCCTAAACTTGAAACCACTTAACTTTTAATCATTGTATCACTGAAGCACTTTGTCCCAAATATAAATTCAAGTCACTCAAAGATGATTATAGACGTACATCAAGAAATTTCTCAGAGGGTCAGGGACACAGCTCAGCAACACAGTGTCTGCCTGGTAAGTACAAGGTCCTGAGTTTGATTCTCAGTACAAAAAAAAAAAAGAAATTTCTCAGAAAAGTTAAACAATAAGAGCAAGAGGAAACAAAATATAAATCACCAAAAATATATGTCTTTCCTTAAAGTTGTTTTAAAATACTACTGAAGTAAAATAATAAGGGAAAAGAAACATAAGTTTGTGTGTGTGTGCCCATATGACAGTGACACATTATCATGGACCAAGCAATAGAATGGCCTGTTTCCAAATACATCTTATAATGCTGAAAAAATTAGATAGCCATACATTAGCAATTAAGTAACTACAAAGTCATACATTTGAATAACTAATTTCAATGCACTGTGATCAAAGAAAGGAGCAATCTACTAGTAATTCAATGTTTTTATATTGTGAAATAAGAAAATATATTTTAACCTAACAAAAGCACAGTAAACACACAAAAAATTTTCCATTAAACTGACAGTATGTAATAAATGATGATGAATATTTTGGGTTATTGTCTTACTTTTCTCTTGTGGCTATGACAAAATACCCAATACTTAAGGAAAGAAAGGTTTATTTCGCTCAGTTTATAGAGGTTTCAGTCCCTATTAACTCCCTCTAAAGCAGGGTAGCATATGGCAGAGGGCAACGGCTCTGGCAATGCAACAAGGGAGCAAAAGGGGGAAACGAGTCTCTGTCTGACCTTTTTAATCTTACCCAGATTTCTGGGGTTAGGTGGTGCCAATCCACTGTACTGATCCAGCAATCACCAGTCTTACTCCCAGCACCCTTAATTCCAGCAGTGCAAAATCAGTCACAAACTCTAGGTTCAGCTACCTTCAAAAAAGCCTGCCCTCCCCACAGAATGCATGAGGCTTTTGGGGGGGGGTGTGCTTCTAGATACAAACTATAACAGCTATCTAGAAGTTATTATCATAAAACATTTGGGGATGACATTGCTACTGTGCAATTCTATCAAGCATGTGTTTAAAATTCTTTAGTCATCTAAGGGTGCTAAACTACAGTAGTTAATTGGCTATAATCTATTAAAATAAATTATGTTAACCTCATAGGAAGTCCCAATTAAAAAGCCAAATTTTCAACTGGAGAACAGGCAATTTAAGATGGTGGTAAGTATCTGAAGCATAACAGATAAACTTGATAATATCTTACTAATAGGCAAAGATTTACATTTTCAGACCTTAAGAAGCAAGGCAATTTTACATAGGTCATACAGAGTTATAAAACAGTTATAAAAAACTGTACAGCTGACACCTTTTACTTCCAGTAAGTATGTATGGTTTATTGACAAAAGCTGGGTTGGTGATCTGCAGCCATGCAATGCAGAAAGAAGGTGGAGCTTGCCACCTAATAATACTGAAAAGAAATGTCCAGGTTCTGGGGACAGACTAGCTCAGCGGCAGAGTGCTTGACTGCAAAGCGTGAAGGTTCAACCTTGAACCTTGAACAAAGGAAGGGTAAAAAAGAAATACGCTCTCAAAACTGCTTGTTCAACTCCTAAAATTCCTTTAACAAGGGAAAGACCTCTCAGTATAATTTCACAAACAAAAAGATGAAATACAAATACTTAATAAGACAGTAGAAGAAACATACAAAATACATCTCTAAGACACATCTCTCTCAGCCCTATTGATCACAAAAGTTGCCATTAACTTGCAGTCAGATAAATTAAGTAGAAATTAACAGGCAAGGCTAGGCCCTCCAAGGAGTCATTGTGGAAGGTGAGAATACACCATAACTGCAGCTGGAGGTGCAACCAAAGAAGGCAAGCCCTGGAGACGAAAGTCACCATAGCCAGATTTATATAATTCCCTAAAGGATAAAAGGAATTTTGAGATTACACTGCAACTGGTATAACTCTTTTGGGATTTCCCATAGAAACAGACAAATAGTTCACTAGGAGTGGGTCATCCTTTCCCAGGCACTAAGACTAAGACTAAACAAAACTTTATCAACCAAAATTAATGACATCATTATGCTCTTGCCACATGCCCTGCTGATCAGTACAAGTTAAAGGGCTATATTTGTAATTTTATTGATTATACTTTGACCCACACTGTACCCACCTTGTGACTTTGCCCTATAAAACACTCTCTGGAAAGATGACCTTGGTAACAAACAACTCAGGATGTCTCCTATCTCTCAGGAGCTATTTCTATTTCCCATTCCTACTCCCCAGCTCCCAATTCTGTTTGCTTCCTTCCTTTGTTCATTCACATTCCCCTTGAATGTGTCCTATCTCTAAATAAATCTTTCCCACTCTTAACCTCCATTGTTCCTGGCAATTCATTCTTTGATTTCAGGGAACATGACTGGACACATCAGGTTGGGAGTTAAATCCCTCCGATATTGTATCTATACTTATCCCTAGCCATTTTTAATTTACTTCCTCCTTCAAAGTTCCATAAAAGCTCTTGTCTCACACATAGGACACAATTTTGACTACGTAAAAGACAATGGGAAAAAACACAATTTCTAGCTGTGATAAGGCTGTGTGTTAAGTAGACCCTAAAAACACAGACTTTCCCCTCACACACAACATTCCTCAGACAGTGTCCCAAGAAAAATAGGAAATAAACCTCTTCAGATAATTCATATAAAGAAAACTTTTTCTAAAAGGATAGTGCTTTTTTACCAAGAAAGTTTGTTTATTTCTTTGTAATCTGATATTTTTCCCCTATCTCATTACATTTGTATATATTTGCTCAGTTATTTTTAGCTACTAACTCCTAAGTATCAGCCAGGGATCTCTAATTTGGCAACCTCTAAAGTGCCCTCCAGTAACTCCTGCCTCTTGGAATTCATGTTCTTGTTCAGTCCACTTCCCTTTCCTTTCCATTTGGGTTGGACTTAATGACTCATTCCTAAAATGTGGTAGCTATAATGGGTTGAGAATAGGTTATAAAAGACCAACATTTTCCTCTTGGATGTTCTCTCCTGGGTTGTTTGCAAGGATGACCATCTACCACTGTGAAGCAACCCTAAAAAGAAACATGTCTGCTGGGGAACCTAGGCCTGCCAACAACCATGTGGTTGTAAGTAGACCTAGAGCTTCTCCACCTCAATGGAGCCTTTAGATGAGCTCACACCCCCAACTACAGCTTGACTGCACCTTCATGAAAGAACCAGAGAAATTCCCGATCCACAGAAATTGATGTAATAGATGTTGTTTTAAGCTTGGGTAAATTTAGAGATAATTTCTTATTTAACAGTAGATAACTAATGTATCACATTAGACAAATTTTCAGTTAACTGTATAAAAATGAATAATATAAACATTTGTTCTTCATATAAAAATTTGCTCTGTTAAACCATTTTCATGGTTTCATCTACCTTAGGAAAAGTTACCAAACTCCAAACATTTAAAGAAGGGGCAGAAGAGCTGGAAGAAAAAAAGAAATGCTGGGAAGAAAAATGAAAAATAAATTGTTACCATTTGCAGTAATAAAGGTCATGAGACACTGATTTAGTGATGTACGGTATTTATAAAACAAGTAGACTCATTTACTAAATTAGTAAATACTTATATAACTTAAATATAAAAATTGTAATGACTGAGAATTGGAACTCATTTATATAACTTTATCTAATAAATAATATTATTCAGCACCGTCATTCGAACAGTAAGAACTCAGTCACAGAAGAACAAATAAGATAAATTATGGCTTTAGAACAATTTATAATCCACATTTGCTGTAGCAACTGACAGTCTAACCTGACCCTAACTGCATGCATTTTGCATTCCTATTACTGAAAAGTATGTAAACAACCAAAAACTGTGGTTAAGCACTCAAACGATATTCTCACTAATTGAAAAGCAACATTTGGACCTACGAAAAGTAGTGCTGTTTCTTGGCTTTTTTCACAAAGGTGCTAGGTCACTATCTGTGGTCCCAAGCTGAACTGTGCCCCAGTAAGCCTAGAAACAATACCTTTTCCCTCCTCCCAACACTGATTCTTCATTTTGATAAGCCATTGCTGCTGTCACTCAAGATGCTTTACACTGTCATTGGTTCTAAACTCTTGCTGGTCGGCCAGTTTTTGCCAACTGGCAAGCAGCGGCGGGCTATTTCCGAGAAGGAAAGTGAGTGTGTACAGGCAACAAACAAAAGATCTGCAATATTTAAGGCTGACGCTTGTACCTGAACGACCTGCGATCTCCACCGCCGCCGCGACGAACCGGCCTCTGGGCGGGGGCTTTCAGCCAAAAAGAAAGTGAGTTAGCCGGGAACTGGTGCCCAGGCCATGAAGAAGCCTGTCCAAACTTCACGTGTCACGCGGGTAAAGACGACGGTCTTGATGTTGCCTGAAACACCTCTAGATCCCAGGGAACATAGAGCACTTCAAGCTGCTGGAGTCAGCGCTGCGGACTGTCCGAGTTGACATTTCCTATTGTTGCCGGAAGTGACGTTAGGGTTCTACTCCTTAAAGAAGCAGCATTTTAATTCATGCTGTTTCAGATTCGCCATAGATTCTTTGTTTCTCGCTTTAAGGTCTGAGCCACTCTAATCATCAAAATTATACTGATTTCTGATCTGCAAGATAATATCGAATTGGCCGTTGAGGAAGCTCTCCATGGAGTGAGTCACTTCTCCTTATGGTCTGGACCAACGGGATGTGGAATCTGCAGCGTGGAATCCCGGAGCGCGCAGCACGGGCCGCTTTGAAGATCTCGCCGCGGTGCCTGGCGGGCTAGATCCCGCCGCTGCGAGTACAAACGGTCGGCGCGAGAAGCGCGCCGCGGCGCCGGGAGTGGCAGCTGGAGACCGGTTCGGGTGCGTCTCCCGTTACTTATGTTTCCTTCCCCGCTCCTTGCTGGGCTCTGCCCGAGGCCTTGGAAGGCCGCTTCTTTCTTCGGCGGCCTCCGGTGAACCTGAGGGAGCCGTCCGGGCTGTGCCCTACTCCGTCCGAGGTCGCCCTTCTCTGCTGACCTTACCGAGACCCCGGATGCGGGCGTATTATCAGGTCTGTGTTTTTGTCCCTTTAAAGCCGATGGCGGAAGTCCTAGCTGTAGCTTGCTCGTGTACACAGCTCGTTGTAACACGAGGTAGGTTAGATGTTGACAGCTCATCCTCTTAAATTTGGGTTGCACTCAGGGCTGGGAAGCTATTCACTGATTCATAGTGGATTCTCGGAGCTGAGCATCCATCAGCCTTCTTCAAGGAAGGAGGAGTTGCAAATTACTTGTGTTGTCTTTGCTGGCATTTTCTTGATGTTTCAAATTTGTGTCCATCAACTTTATGTTTCAGTCTTGAAATCTTAATTATTTGATCTGGAATTATGCCTATCGTAGACTGTGTTCCAGAAATACTATCAAACCTGTTAGGAAATTTTCATGTGTACACAGCAGTGCCATTAACCTCTTTTCCTAAAGTGGTTTTCCTTCCTCAAATTTTGCTTACCTTGTCTAACAATATTTCCTTCACATTTTTTTTTTTTGCAAAAACGAAATCTTTATACATTTAACTTATACTCATCTTTGTTCCTCTATTTCTGACACTTTTTTTGAGGTGTTGTAGAGGGTTATGAGTTATAAATTCTTAACCATCCACCATTAGTTATCAGAGTAGGCAGCTTCATGCTGAACAGTAAACACAGAATCCAGTAACATCCAGTTGACAGTCATCATTTTAAATGACTTCTAACTGCCATGGGATTGAACCGAGTTAAAAATCTTAAGCAGTCTGACATATAGACAGAACTGAAGAAAGAAGGAAGCAATAGTGATGCCTTAATGATGGAATGTGGTATAAGCGGAGTAGAAGCTCCTGTTTTCTTTTAATTTCCTTTGATAAGGATAATGTAAAAATGGTCAATGGTTTTCTCAGACTAACAAGTTATATTTCATCTCTGGATTTCCGGTTGAATATGCACAAACAGTAGATTGGCTACTTTTAATATCTTAATTTTAGTGTTTTCCAATATTTTAACAATTTCAGTAAGTCCTTTCTTGAAAATGAGTAACAGTAGCTATAAATCTTTCTGTAGAGCTCATGTTCTCTAATCCCTTTATTTTTGTTATACTCATTACCAGTTTCACCTACAGATCCGAACTGGCTTAGTATCTTTCTTTTCTTTAAACTATTTATTCAGCTATTATTGACAACGGTGTGTTTCAGAAAAATACTTTGTACTCAAAAATTTCATTTCCAGTGGGAGAAATAATGTGTCCCAGGATAACATCAGAAAAAGGAAAGATGGAAAGATATCACACAGTGTTAGACAAAACAAAATTGCATTTACTGGAAAGATAGAATATACATTTGGAAGAACAAGGAGGTTTGTGGGAAGAGACACACTTAAAGTTAATGAATGTTTTAAGGGAAGACGTCATCTTGTGACAAGTTAGGTGGGCCTGGAACCAAAGCAAGCTCAGACCTACAAACATTACCTAGTAGTAAAACCCAAGTATAGGTTCTTTTTCGCTTACAGGTCAGTTAGTTCCTACTTTATCTTTCCCAGGAAAGTAAAGGCTAGTAAGAAAATACATGTTTTGTTTTCCAGTACTGGGATTTGACCTAGGACCTTCATACTGAGCTGTCATTTTGTGTGTGTGTGTGTGTGTGTGTGTGTGTGTGTGTGTGTGTGTGTTAAGGTCTCACTAAGTAAATCAGGCTGCGCTCAAATTTGTGATCATCCTGCTTCAGCTTCCCAGAGTGCTGTGGTGGTTGGGATGCCACCACACATGGCTTACTCTAGAAAACCTTTTGCAGCTTCCATGTGCCTGTATAACCCCTGACATCCTAAAAGATAATAATTAGTACTGATCTTGGCCAGTACTTGGGATAATTTGATTTCAGGATTACTTCCTCTCTTTTTCAGTTATTTCTTACTTGATAATACATGGAGAGTCCCTCTGTGTAAAACTAAAAATGTAATCGGTTGGCTGAGAAAAAGTGACTGAAATGTTCATATTTAAAAATATACTTAGCAATTCATTTTTCATCATCATTTATTGGAAAAGACTGGCCCTTTTCCACTGCTGCTCAGTATCACCTTTGACATACACCTGTTGTCAGTCTATGGTGTTACCAGATTTAGAGGTGTGAGAGTCTCCAGAAGGAGGTAGTTTCTGTCCTGAGTGAAGAATTTGTCAAGACAAGCACAAATGGTAACAAAGTTTTATTAAAAGTAGCGAAACAACTCTGCAGGGCGACCCCGGGCCAAGTAAAAGTAGGAAAAGAGGTACACCCTACAGTGTAAGGGCTGCTACCATGCAGGAGAACACAGTGGCACAGCTCAATGTGGATTGTCCTTTTTGGGTCAGGTCTAGGTCATCTTATAGAAAACCTGTTCAAGTTTTCCAGAGAAGTCCATCTGCAGGGCTTTGGGAACCATTCTGTGCATGTGTCCTGGGATTTTGTAATTACCAGGTCACACCTAATTTCCTGGCTAGCTTGACCAAGCCCTGATCTCTTGTCTCATATGCACTGATTATTTCTGGACTTTGTTCTCTTCATTACTCTGTACATCTTTTCACTGATTCCAAATTTACTTTTATAAAAAGTCTTCATACACAATATGAAGTATGTGGTTCAATTTGATTTTCAAGATTTTGATAGTTAACCTTTAGTCTTTACATTCCCATATAAATTTTAGAATCAACTTATCAACTCATTCCCAAAGGCAGCATTTCTTACAGTGGCTTTATCAGGACATAACCCACATCATAACTCAAGCAGTATGTACAATTTTCCTTTTGAAATTTTATTTCATATATTGACTGTTTACTACCAAATCTTTCTTTTAATTTGTTTTATATTGATCTCTGCCTCACATACTGAAAACTTTCTTTTCAAGTTAATAGGCTTTATGTGTGTATTCAGTTTTAAGCGTGGATCCCTGAAAAGAGGTGCATGGCTATAGCTAGTGCAAAGATTGGACCAGACCGTGACCTTTTCGTTGGTCTCCCTCAAATGTCAGCCTAGTTAAAAGTATTTTCTCCTGTGTTTATGTACTTGACCTCTAGTAGGATCTGCTGATCTTGCTGCCTTACAAGATATAATCTAGCAGTTTCTTGAAGCTGAGATATAAGAAACTATATTTTTATTTCTTTGTTGTATAGTCTTTGTCTTGCCTGATGTTTCCAAATTTAATACCTCTTCGTTCAATTTCCTCAGACTAAAACTCTTTTGTCTTATCAAGGAAATAAAAAGGTAGGTGCTTAGCTGAGTAGGTTTTTGGTGAGCCCTGAGTGTTCTTTTAAAATTTATTTATTTTTATTTAAAAACAGGCAGCTGATTGACAACTATTTGAATGACTATTTCTGTGAAAAATTTTGATTTGTCTCTAGTTTTTACTGATAATATTATGTAGTTTCCATACGCATCCAAGAGAGCCATTAATTGAGATTATTTCAGTATGATGTGTATTTCCAAATAATACTTCATTTTTCAAATTTAAATATGTGGAAAAGGTCATGAATTGTAGGAGCATGAATATAAGGCAGACATTTTTTGTAAGGGAAAATGTTGATGGATACAGTGAGAGGTTACTTATATTTAGGAATTTTTAGTACATAGATTGTGAGCAGTGAGTATTTGGCCAGTAGGGAAAAGAGTAAGTTAGGAGAAATATAACTAGGATTAGATAGAATATGTTAAATGGCTATCAAAGGTATGTAGAAAATAGAATAGAGAAGCTTCAAATCATATACAGGTTTAATCAGTGACTCATGAGTTTTTATTTTTAGGTGAAAAATTATTTTAAAAGTTGGAACTAAGTTGAATGTTAAATAATGGCAACAGGTGACCTAAAAAGAAGCTTACGGAAACTGGAAAAAGTGCTTCGCTTGTTAAATTATCCTAAAGAGGTGGATTATGTTGGGTAAGCAATAATGTCAAACTTATTTGTATGCTTTTTTGCTAAAAAATTGAGATACTGTATAACATGGGAGGAATACCTAAAGAAAAATAAAGGTTTTTACCTGGGTGTTATTTAAATTTACTTTGAAATGGTTAAAATATTTTGGAAAGCAGTCAATTCAGGAAGTTGTTTATACATATGAATTAATGAAAAATCCCAACCCAGGACATTTAAGATACGTTTATAAACACAGAATATGTCAGTGTAATGTATTACCTCTGTATTTTAACCCTATAGACCTATAGTGGATTTTATTACTTATATAGCCTACTGCTTTCATATTCATTGGATAGTGTTTCTTATTATTAAATAAATCTATAATGAGCAGAGATTGCTACCATTTCTTGTCAGTCTCTGTTTATTCATTTATGGAGCATAGATTTTATACTTTTAAGCTGTATGTTCTTTTTGATAGGGGAAATTCTGGTTGCTAAGATTTTCTATGGCAACCTGTACCATCCTTGAAGATTAATCTTATATAGAGTATAGCAACATACACTTTTCCTATATATATGCTAATCTAAAATTGACACAGTTGATTTTTGTGGTGTTTTCTTTTTATTTTTGAGACATGGTCCTGCCATGTAGCCTGAACTATTCTCAGACTTACTGTGTACCTCATGGCTGGCCTCGAACTCCTGATCCTCCTGCTTCAGTCTCCCAGATGCTGGGATTACAGGCATGTGTCACTGTCCCGGGCTTTATGCCTTTATTTATGTTTTAATATATGAAGCACATTCCTTTACCTGTCATCATTGATTGATTTATTAATATTTTCCCACTAGAATATAAGCTGAGGTCTGGGACTTTGTATTGTTCACATCTATAATTGAACCTGGTAAGAGATTCAGTGAGTGGGCAAGAATTTCCATTATCCTGATTTAAAGCCCTGTATTACTCTCACCATCTTGTTTTTGACTGATGTCCCCCTATTCTGTTTTGCTGGATAGTACCAGTTTCGAAAGTTTAGGCAACAGCTGTGAAGATAGTGAGATTCATTATGACGCCCATTCTCGATGACTTTTATCTACTTTTGAAGACCTACAATGTCTCCAATGTTTTGGTTTTGTCGGTTTTGTTCTTTACTGTTTTGTTCAATTTTATTATAACTGATGATATAGGCAATTCTATTAGAGATAGCGGGAGGCATTATGGTAATCATTGTTGATCACCTTGTATTATGTTTTTCCATTATCTATTATGTCCACCCTTTTGATTTGACCGACTCTGTTCTGTTATGTCACATTTGGTTTTACTCTCTTCCAAAAAAGTAATAAGAACCGTGGGAGCAATAAAACCCAAAATGTGTAATAGTCATTGTACAAAAGAGAGGAAAAGAAAGTGCTCTAAATGATACAACTGCATGTATATTTAAGTGTATAAGATAAAAAATGGTATCACTGAGTTTTATTGGATCATTGAACAGAACTGCAGTATCATTGTTGAAATGTCCACTTTACAAGCTTTAATTTTGTGACTTGAACAGTTATTTCTAAGATGACAATATGTAATCCATTAACTAGTGATTTCCTACTGTTTATTTTTTTCTGTAAATCTGTATAACTTGTACCCTTTCTCTGCTTTTTTTTTCTCCTTAAATAAAATTAAAAAAAAAAGAGACAAGTCTGGGTTAGACATCTGTTTGAGTGTAGAGTAAAATTTGATTATACCAGCTACTCTGTAGAATCCTCAAGTAATGGGCTTTATGTAAAAGAGTGGATAGTATACATTGAGAAGAGCTAACCCAAGAGAAGGCTGTGAGTGAAAGGATAATAAGGAGAATAAAAAGTCTAGTTACTGTATTACAGGTATTAGAGGCAAGAAACAAGTTATGAAATAAATGTAATCATGGTACGTGCCAGTCATCATTTTGGTTTTATCATTTGTGTGTATGTTTTTGTAGTACCAAGAATTGAACACAGGGACTTCATACAGAACTACATCCCCAGCCCTTTTTCATTTTTTGAAATTTTAAGTTGCCAGGCTCAAATTTGTAACCCTTTTGCTTCTCTTCTGCCTGAGTGCTGAGATTACAGACCTGCGTTACTGGTACCCCGCTTTGCTAATTATCTTGGTTCTTCAAATCTTGACAGTCCTGAATTCCAGGGATGTGAACCAATTGAATAGACAGATTGTCTTGTCATCACTTTTATACAGCATTTTAAAAAACATTTTAGATAGCAATGATTCTGAAAAAGACCAGTATTTTTCTGTTTTCTGTGTAGTGTTTGAACATTTTTCTGTTGGCCCAAGAATGTCATTAAGAATACTTTTTAGATTATTGTGTAACATAAGCTATTTATAAGACCTTGTGTAGTTAGATAGCAATAATTCTTTGAAACCTTGGTGTTCTTGAGAACCATAAGGTGGTAAGTACTATAAATGGATTGCTGGCACTGGAGGAGCAATATGGTATTAAGTTTTTGAGCATACTAATAGATAGATGATACTATTGCACAGTAGTCTTATTAGAGCGATTTAGAGTTGAAGATAGAATCTGGAGGGTCACGTATCAATCAGTTTTTATGCTCATAGTGTGAAGTTGTTGATAACATTTTTAATACTTTCTTGATTATACGATTTTAAGAACTATGCTCATTGAAAGTCCTTTTTTCCCAACAGTTTGATGAAGGGAGACACAGCAGCAGCTTTGCCCATCATCAGCTATTCTCTTACCTCATATTCTCCCTACGTAACAGAATATCTTATGGAATGCAACGTAGAGCTCATAGCAAAGAATGACGTGCGCTTTATTGATACTGTCTACAAGGTATTTTGAATTTATGAAATGATACTTATTTTAAATGTTATTAATGATTTTTTTAAAAAATCAATATTTTAATAACTCCTTAAATATAGCTGCATGTCACTTAACAACAGATATACTGAGAAATGTGTCAGTAGTTAATTTTATTATTATGTAAATCATAGATTATACTTATACAGATATAGATAGTATAGCTTACTGCCAACCCAGTCAGTATAATACATGAAACTTATTGCTCTTAGGCTACAAATTCTTACATGTTATGGTACCTCATAGTATAGGTAATTATAATACCATACAAGTTTTTTTGTGTATCTAAGCATAGAAAAAGTACAATTAAAATACTAGGCAATAGAACTTCTTCAGTTCCGTACTAATCTCACAGGACCACTGTTGTATACATAGTCTGTCTTTGACCAAAATCTTAATGTCGTGCATCACTGGGTATGCAGCATGTATAGCCAACAGCATGTTTTCACATGCATCTGTATCACTAAAATACTAGCTCTATTGAAATCATGATGTAATTCAAGTTTACTTAAGTAGAATTGCATTTCATGAAATAAGAGCTTTTATATATAGGTCTATTAATCTTCTATTTAATCTTCCTGTTTTTTGCCACTAATCCCAGAAAGGTTTCGTAGAAGTCTAAATAGCACTTTAAGAAATTCTAAGGTTCCACATATTAGAACTAAACGAACTTGTAGTCCGTTTATAAATGAGAGACTGAGTTCAAAAGACTTACTGACTTATCTAAAAGTCACATGGTAGTAGAATAATTAAATTCTGACATCTAGTTTGGTATTTTAATGCATTAGGGAATTTTTCTAGTACTTCAAAGAATATTTGAACTTTTTGATGATTGACTGTTTTTCTGTATCTCCGGACAGCCATCTCTGTGGCACATTCTAGCACCTGTTTTCTAGCTGGATACCTCTCCTACTGGGTCACGACTCTCACAGCTCTGTAAATCTCTTTAGTAATCTTTGGTTAATGGCTTGTCCACCTTACCTTCTCAAAGGTAGCTATTCTTTCTCACCAGGCGGCTATTACTGTGGGTTGAAGAAAGAAATTGCTAAGTATTATATCAGTCTTTTCTTCTTTGCAGCTTCTTCGTGATCAATTTGATCATAAACCAATTTTGACAAAAAAGCAATTTTTGCAACATGGATTTGCAGAATGGAAAATCCAGATTATTTGTGATATTTTGAATTGTGTAATAAAAAAGCACAAGGAATTGTGTGGTGCTAATAAGGTAATTTTCTGAACAGATTTTACTGCTGACTTAAATGGCCCAATATTTTGATATATGAAATCATTATAGTAAGTACCAAATTATTAGTGTAATTACTGCATTCTTCAAAGTTTTGGGGAACCTTATAAAACTTCATGTTTGCTTTAATACTATTCAGTTGCTTTTACACGTCTGCGACGTGGAACTGCTTGTAGTAAATTCAAAGATGATGCATTTTCATCACTTATGTTTTTAAAAGATACATAGTTTCTTTAAAGTCTTGTTATTTGTTACTTGTATTTCAGAAGTGAATATTTAAGTGATAGGAATTAAATTTACATTATGCTTTCCATAAAATTTGTTATGTAACACATTGTTATTGATGGTTTAGACTCCTTCACAACCAAGAAAGAAAATTTCTCAGAACCACTCAGAACCTTCATCAAGCAATGAGAAAACACCTGCAGAGCCTGTGAGCATTGATGTCACTGGCAGATTTATGACTTCAGGAAAGGTAGAAAAAATACAAAGAAAATGTGCTGTGTAGCTTAAGAGTTACCTAATTAATAAATCTTGTATGTAAGACTCATTTCTTTGAGTACGTGGTGAGGCAGCTACTCAGATTGCACAGTATAGGGATTTTTTTAACAACAAATGCCATTTATTCTTTGGAACACATTCCTGAAGTTACAAGAAAAGCATAGAAATGTAAAATTGACAGAGCTTTTTATATCTAATTGAATTTTGCCTCATTTTCCTTATACAGTGTCCACATTTGCTCTTGATTATGTATCTGGTCTTCCTAAAACATGAAACTATAGTATATGAAAAATCTATTCTTAGTAATAAAGATGGCTATGATGATTCATTTATATACACTGACATTTCTATAACCAGGAGTATGAATTATCTGACAGTTTGTAACCTGCAAATATGGAATGTGATTTGTAGTGTTTTGAGTATTTTCCCTTTGTTCGTAGATCTTCTTTGCCTTTGTAGTCTTTGTGCCTGGTGGTAAAATTAATCCAGTGTCCTTAGAGATGCAGGTTTTCCATGTCCAAGGGAGATTTAAGCCAAAATACTATGTTTTAATGATAAATGTACTTTCAGCTGTCTTGCATTTATGGAAAACTTTATGAGATTGAAGGGTAAAGTCCCAGATGAATAAGCAGTGTGTAATTAGCTAAGGGATATTAAGCTGAAGGACAGTCTAGTGAACTCTTTCTGCCTGAATCCACCTTAAATGATTTAAAGTCTGTTTAAAAGATTTTACACTCCTGTGCCTTGTTAAAGTATAATTTCATCCTCAGAACAGCTTCTTATGCCAGTAACTTTTAAAAAATGTGATTACTTCGCTCCAGGTAATGAGGGCAGCAAGAAAAGGAAGTGTAGGAGGGTGCGCGTGTGCGTAACTGCTCACACTTCTCATCTACTCGCACTCTAAGTCACCGAGTTCCTTGTTAGTTTTATATGATCTTATTTTCCAGCTATTAAGTGATTTATGTTGTGTATCCTTCCCAAGTAGAAATGTATAAATAAGGTTTTTTAAATACTGATTTTATCTTCATTGAGCTTAGCACAATACGAGGTGCACTGTAGGAACTTGCTGAGGTTGATAAAACGGTAGTTTTCTCAGTATTTTATTTTAACATAGGGTTGAGGGGTAATTGCTCTAAAAAAGAAAAATGCAACATTTTGAGATATTACACTTGTTCTAAAATTCTCTTTGTTCCCATCAAAGTTAAATGGTTGACATTGTATTTTTAATTATTAGAAATTTGAATGACTATTAAAAATTTTCAGGTTTATAGAAGTTACAATTCACAAGTAGATGTTTTTGTTTATAGGCAAAAATTGAGTCAGTTTTGCTACAGTAAATTTTCTCCTTCCCAATGCCTTATACAAATGTAATTTTTTGTCATATACTAAATTCTATAGTAAATACTCAAACTGTTTTTAGAAAAAAATTAAGTAAAGGAGCCTGGTTGTATAAATACGTAGTCTGGTCTATTCTTTTTTTTCAGGAATTCCCTCTTGTCATTATGAAATTTGAATTGTTTGCTGAAGGCCTAATATATTGTAATTTAATAGAAAGAAATCACAATGAATCTCACACAGTTAATTCTTGATTATTTGTTTGTAAATTATGTGGAAACTTTTATTATGGAACATTAAAAACATTTATGATATCTATCATCTAGTTTTAACAATTTATAAACTGTCTGCTAATCTTGTTTCTTCTTCATTATAACCACTTTCCCCAACATTTTAAAAATTTCAGATATCTTTAAAATACCTCAAAATTTAAAAATGCTTTTTTAAAAAATAATTTTTTCTAAAATACAAAAATGCTTCTAGAAGTTCAGATTATAATTTCCTCATCACATATATTGTAATAATAGTTCATAAGATTATGATGTATACATAAATTGTAATTTCAGCCTCTTTAACTCTTTAAAGGAAGGCTAGACATTCTTTTTTTTGCAGAATTACTGTACATGTGTGCTTAAAACAGTGTGAAAGTAAAATCACTCAAATGTTTCTTGCATGTTTGTCTCTGCAGAAGAAGGCTTTGGTTATTCGTCACATGTACAAGGAAAATGGTATTAACCTTCCTGAAGACACAGAAAGCTCAGTAGTAGAGGATAATGAAGTGTGTGATGTGTCAGAGTTAAAGGCTTCTGAAATAGTGATCAGGGAGGTGCAGCACCCTGCAACCAAGTCTGAGGAGGAAGTAAGACGTTTGGACTTGTTAAAAAGATGCCGGGGTTTCTTCTTTGTCCATGATTAACTTAGCATTTAAACTCTGGAATGTTTAACTGTTCAAATTATTAATCATGACACATTACCTATGTTATTACTTTAGAACCAATAATGTTTACTGAATATATGTCATTTGATGATTCTGTGGGCTGTGTGCAAAGAAAGGTAAAAGGCCATGGCTCCCAGCACTTCAGTCTAGTAAGACAGGTGTGGAGTGTTCTACCATTTATTTCCCACATTGGTGCAGGGAAAATCTTGGTACTTCATTGCCCTGTCGTTTTCCTTTCTTACTTCTTGCTGTCTTTATGTCTCTTAGAATATCACATTTATTATTCTTTATTGCCACAAACCCTATTATGTGTCTAGGGTCTACTGTTTGTGCTAAAACACCATTATCTATCTTTTTTCTGTGTTCAGTATATAATTAACATTTATAAAACCCAGCAGATGGTCATTAGGCTTGTTTCCTATTATAAGGCGCATTAGTATTGTCAGTGCACTGTCATTTTAGTCATTTCCTCTTGGCTTTATGCTAGTGATGTTATCAGAAGCTAGTTAGTATTTAGTGACAGTTTTATTGTATTACCTGGTATTATTTAAGAATGTTATGCAGATTAACTCACAAAAACATATTAAATAGATACTTTTTTTTTTTTTTTTTTTTTTTTTGTACCAGGAATTGAACTCAGGACCTTGCACTTACCAGGCAGGTGCTGCTCCACTGAGCTATATCCCCAGCTGTAGATACTATTGTTAGCTTGCTTTTTTGAATGAAGCAATGGGGCCATCAGATTATAAATTTCAAATGAAGTAGTTTATGTGTCAAAGTAACCTGTCTTTAGCAATAGCTCTCTTAATTCTCATGCCGTGCTGCCTCTTCTGACAACTGAAAAAACAGAATAGAAATTGAAATACATTGCTTTTAAAGGAACTTCAGCTTGTATAATATTATCTCTAACCTCTTTAATTATTTTAGGATATAAAAAGTTATCCCGAGATTACTGCACTACAAACTATGGTTGCTGAATGTCAAGAAAAGCTTTGTAAGTTGGCTTGGATAGAGAAAAGGCTGGACTGTTTGGAGGAACGAATGAAAGGGAAAGTGATAGTAGATGAAAAGACGTGGACTAATCTTCTCAGTCGGATCACTCTACTTGAAACAGAATTGCTTTTGTCTAAAAAGGTATTTTCTTTCCTTGATATGTAAAGATTATCTTAGATACAGTATTCCTTTTATTTTGTGTGCAGTCTTTTGGAAAAGCTAAATATGACAAGCATTCCATTGATCAATGGGAAAATGTCTAGTTTAAGTCCTATGTTTAACCTGTTTTCCTGTTCCTATTGTGGCTATTGTTTTTCTCTTAATCAGATGAGATAGTCTGAGGTTTTAGTTGTTAATAGTACTTGAAGTACTTAAAATGAGGCAAGAATGTACCTGCTTTATTTATGTAAACTTTCTGCACTTTTTTTTTTTCTTTTTTCTTTTTTTATTGGTACCGGGGATTGAACTCACGACCGCCTGCTTGCAAGGCAGGTGCTTATGCCGCTGAGCTAAATCCCCAGCCCCTATGTAAACTTTCAAATTATAGTTTGTAATAGCATAGTTTTTCCAATTTGCAAAAAAGTTGTAGAAGAAAATTTGAAAATACAGCTCTTCCTTTTTTTTTAAAAACTTTTCAGTCATGATGTGAATTTCATAGAAATAGTTACTACATTTACCATTGCTTTATCAAATCTGAGAAATTTGTTCATGTTACCTAATACCTAGAATTCAGTTGCTGATCTTTTTCTTCCGAAAGTTGGTAGGCTGAAAAAATTTACTATCTACTTGATAGTTAAAGATTATTTCTTATATATAGAAATTCTTATGTATTGCTTTGTAAATAAAATAGTTACTTAAATATTTCTTGTACTATGGTTATATTTGTATGATTGACAGCATAAAATGAAGACACTTTTTATTTTATTCAGGATAAATGTGTAGAATTTAATGCAGTGAGTGATGACTGTGCTTCCTGCAGTGACGTAGATCTGGTGACCCTTGGTAAGTTTCTAACGATACTAGTTGGTGCTGTACTAGAGGGCTTCCAGAAAAAGAATTTTTGGAGTATTTGTTAATTTTGTTATTATCGAGCTTCATTTTTAAAAAGAAATTTCAAATCTTCTAAAACAAAGAAATTAATGAACCTGTGGCTACTAAAGCCAAATACTGCTTGATAAATTACTTATATAGCATAGATAAACAAATTTCAATGTACAGAGTTTCAGACTTTTAAGAGATATTTTGGTCTTTTAATCATTTTAATATAATAAAGTACTCTAAGACAAAAATAGACCTATAGGATTTCTAATTTTGAAACTTAAGTAGTAGTATTCTTGTATATGAATGACATATATAAGACAGAAAAAAATTTTTAGTAACCTGTGAAGTATTACAAATCTCTTGCATTCAAGCCATTTATTGAAGATCTTTTCTGTTACCTGAGTTCATAGTGATGTTTTCAGTGTGGCAGAGCCACGAGCATCTCTTCTATTTTTCATCAGCCAACTTTCGTTCTTTTGATTCTCATATTCTTTTAAAAGATAAAAGTCTAAGTTTTCTTATGTCTATGATTAAATCATTTTTATAAAAGATATTTTGTACAATTGAAAATTCATAAAGTTAAATTTTAATATACATGAGTGTTCTCAGCATCATTAACTCTTTACAGTATATATAACAATAATAACAGTAATACATTGTAGCACTATGTGCCAGCATTGTTGTAATTACTAGATTAATTTATTTAATTCTCAAAATAACCAGACAAGATAAGTTCTAATATTGTCTGTGTTTTCGAGAGGAGAAAGTGAGGAGTAGTGAAATTAACTATTTAAAGTCACATTGATATTGAATAGTGGATAGATTTGAATTCAGGCAGCTGGCTCTGAAATTTATTGTTAATCACTGCTTACTTAGCGTTCATGCCAATTTCATTATACACAGAACAGTTTAAGTGATTAGTCTATTAAGTTCAGTCCTTGGAGATGCTATTTTAGGTATTAAGCTTATTATAGACTACCTATCAGATTAGACATTTTTCCATTGATCATTTAAGCATCTATTTTAAAATATTAAAGCTTAACTAAATGATTCTTGAGAGAAGAATTATTATAGTCTATCTAGCAGATAGGAAACATAACTTTTGTCTCTAATATCCACATATAGTAAAGCTCAAATATTTATTGAAAGAATACTGTTATTTGCAAAACATTGCTTTTTAAAACTCAATTTTGCAATGAGATTATTATTTTTTAATGATATTATTACTACAAAGTACTGTATACCTTAGTTCTGGTTAGAAAGCGCATAGCTACATTTAAGCCACTGTGCTTAGAGTGATAAGATGAACCGCTATCTGAAAAGGCTATAGATTATCAGTAAGGTGAATAGCTGACCTTGTGGAATTTATAATCTCATCTATCTGAATTGAAGAGTCAAGTTTGTAAAGCCTTATACATTGCATCTCACACACGTATGTTCCTTGGAAGCAGAAAGTTTGATTTCATTTGGACTCAGAGTGTCTTTCTACTCTTACAGTTGTGCTCAATTGGGAGTGGTTTTTGTGAGGTTCCAGATCTGTTTTTCCTTTATCAAAACTGTGGTGTTCCTCAGGCACCTCAGTGCCTCACTAAGAGTGAGGGAGGAGAGCAGTTTAAGGACTGTACTTTTAGTGGATGATTTTGGAGAGGATTTAAAAAAATTAGGAGACTTCTGATTTTGGTGCTAAGATGAAAACAATGAAGTGGAGCTGAAATTTGCAGTGGAAAACAAGCGCTCAAGTTAGTGGAGAGAGGGCTGTGTCGGGTCAGTTTTTGCGATTATACAGAATCCTTGTATTGTCTTCACACTTAGCAGGTTTGGTATTTTTCTGTTTATGATCTTATATAATGTTTTCTATGACATTTATGTTCATGAGAGAAATAGTAACTCAGGTTAATTGCTGGATAGGCTCCCGACTGTCAAAGCTGTGTTCTGTTTTGTTTTGTTTTGTCTTGTCTTGTTTTGTTGCTGTTTCCCTTCAGAAGAAAAGAGTATAGTATTAACCAAAATACGGTCTAAAAACAGAAAGTGTTTGTTTTATTGTGATTAGAAGAGAAGTTACACGTGGGCACATGAAGGAAGTTGAAGAGTAAAAAAGACCAAATCATAGTTTACCCCAAAGTCATAGATTTTTGTCAACCCCTGTGTAGTCTGAGATGAGAGTTGCTACCAAGGCACCAATCATGATGCTAACCAAGTAGGTAACTGATGTGGGAGACACTTGCGTGTTAAAACTGAAAGGCCTTGGTTACTGATAGAAGTAGGAGAAGTGAAGAAAGGAAAAGTTCAAAGTGACTTCTTGATTGGCCTCTGTGTTTGAGGAATTCCAGAGGAGGAGATTTGGGAAAAATAATTCATTTTTTAATATAATAAATTATATATGAAATAATAAGATGTGATATCAAAAAATTGGTTGAATATGCATATGGATCTTTAATTTGGAAATGCTACCTTACAACAGTGAAGGACTCAGCTTGTTCCCTTATAAGTAAAAAAGTATAACCCCCCAAGTTGATGGTAAAAGGTTAATGATTATGTAAGAAAAGTTGACTAGATCTGGTACCCCAAACCTTATGATGAGATTTCTTTTCTTCACAGGAATCTCTTAGAAGTCACCACTGAAGCTCTTGGACAACTTGCTCCAGGGGCCTGCTGTCAGGGCTGACTGGTCTCCCCTTTTCTTTCTAACCTGATCTTGGTTACCAGTTCTTTTGCTAATCACTGTGGCATGGCTAACAAAAACCATGATTTCTAAACAAGACTTTGCTTGTCTAACTGATCTGGCTATTAAACATACGGCTGTTGTTCTGTATATGCTACACATTATAACCCCCAAAACCCTCCAAGGAGCTGTTTCTATGAATAATTTGCCAGCCAGCTTAATATTGGCTGTCTTCCACCCCGAGGCACTTCCCTGAATAAGGGTAAATGCGTCAAAGTCTAGGCCTCGAAACGTAGGGCCAGGACAGCCATTCCTCTGAGTCCTCTCCATTCCTCTTTCTTGGATTAACATAAATATTCACTACTTTCAAATTTCACCTATCTCTTCTTATTAAAAAAAACTTAATAAAAGACTCAAGGCACAGTAGACAATAGTTCCTTCTCAGGAACTATTTCAAATTATTCCTTAAAAGTACCTGTTACCCACAGCTCCTACTAAACAATCTGGATCTAGCCAGTCTTCAGATTTGTGATCTTGACCCCTATACTCAGCTAACTGGAGCCCGCCCCCACCCCAGCAAATAATCCTAAAAGCCAAATTGCATTCTCCCTTAAAATTGGAATTTGAATACTACAAGTAAGTTAGGGACGTTGTGTTGAGCCTAGATTAGTTTGGCAATTTTATCCGAATTCATCCTAATGAATAAGCAGGAGTTATTCTACAAAGAAAATAGAGGAGTAGAACAAATGACAAGAAAAGCAGGCAAAACAGACTGGTCCGTGTCCCTACAACTTCAATTTTAACCAAACAAATTCCACTAACTGTGTGATGAAATTCTCCTTTCTTCTGTTTCAGCGCCTGATTAGCTGAGATTGCAGTTGTGTGTCATCAAACCTGTTTTTGCAATGTTTTATGAGCCAATTTTTAACATTTAAATCTCCTTATGTACAGGCTGTGCTCTTGAAGGAATACTAAAAATTCATTTTTCATCTATGCAAATAGCTCTGTTCGATTAAAATCAAAAAAAATTTAGATATGTGACACTAAAATGAGAGGAAAAGATAACTTAAAACTTAATTCCATCTTCACAGATGGAAAAATCAAAACGGAGAGGCCAGCAAATATTCCTCTGTCTTCAAATTCGACTCCCAGAGCCTCAACGATTAATTACTGTGGTTTGAAAGATATCTCAGAGGTAAGCAAAATTGACAGCTGCCTAGATGATTTCTTCCAAAGATTAAGAAAACAAGCAAGCATTGATTGTAGTCATCACTATTAGCAAGAAAAATGACAAAATTGTACATCTTAATCTCAGATGAATTCATTATGATGAATAAATAGTACTCCGAATGTTTTAGACTTTCGCATATTCATGGTCCATTTTTGAGGATGATTTAGTTTAAGAAATCACCTAAATTTGTTGCTTTTTAAATTAAAGGAAACAACAATCCAGAAAATGGAAAGGATGAAAAAAATGTAAGTAACAGAAAGGGGCAACAGAAATTCATTTCTCTATAGGGAATTGTATTAGATTACAGTATATATAGAATGTGCATATGTGCTTCAAACCTTAAAGGTCTCTCAGTCAGGTGTGGAATTTCCTTCAAGACTCCAGTGGATCATAAATCCATGTACAGTTAGTTATGTGTTGTAAGATGAGTCATTGTTTTGGTTTCCAACAAGTGATGTACAGCAGAGTTAATGGAATTAACTGTGGATTAAAAGAATGCAAAGATATTTTTGGTTGGTAGTTAATGAAGTGTTATCCTGTTTTGCTAACTGATTAAGCAGAACAATAAACGTGGAGATGGGTGGTTTGGAGACTTTTTTACAGTCAAAGTGTTGCTAGTAAGTTCTAAGGTAATACTAATCATGATACTTGTGCATCTTGTTTATAAGGATTAGTTCAAAGAAAATATAAAACGAAATTGCATGAGAATAGTATGTAAAAATGTTTTTAAGTGATATTATGTAGCTAAATCACTTTAAAACTACATATAAGATTCTTTTAAAATTTGAAGACAATATTAAAATAACTAGACACCAAGAATTGAGTCTCGTTTTTTTTTTCCCACTGGCCCTTGTATAAAGTTTATTAGTACTGTAGTACCCATAGCTAACAATAAAAATTGAAACTTATTTTAAATGCAGAAGCATAATTTTAACAGCTTGTATCTTTTTCTTTGTTACTATTTATTTACACATCATTTGTTTATTTTATTTCAGGTTTGAAGAAACTGCAGAGTTATTAAAATGTCCAAGTCACTAATTGTAGAATTTTCTGCATGAACTGCTGTAGAACTTTGGCTACTGTACATGTTGTATATTTTAAGAACTTTCTATATAATTTTAATATACCATAATATTTTTATTAAGAATTTGTATTCTATTTGGTATATGAGTTTTTCCATTCACTATTGAATAAACACTTTAGTATTTTTGAACTGTTTTTATGCTGGTTTACTCTCACTTTTGGTAGAAAAAACGTATTAAGTTCTAGTACATTGCTTTTACAGAATGAAGTCATTACAGCAAGCCCTGTATTTTTGTGTTGACATTTGTTGGCAGTGTGCTAAGTAATATGTTTTTTAAAGTACAGGCTTGAGGACTATAGTTTACATCCTGTTGGAAGCATTCCAAGTAGGGCTTGCATATCGTACCCCAGAGGCTCAGACATATGATCAGCCATCTGTGCTGACGGGTAAGTTGTAATGAAAAGTCAGAAGTGCTCATTGACAAATAAAACAAAAACAAGCTATTTCATGCTCAGTCGAAAAGTAGCAGTATTAACATTGAGAAAGGAAGGATGAACTCCTTTGGCAGTCAGATGGGTCTGCAGGTTCACTGTGAGAAATGAGCGGAATATTTTAGTGCTCCATTCTATCACATATTTTTAAAGTAGCAGCACAGACACAGCTGGTGGACAGCCGGGGTTTGAAGATACACAGTTAGCTTTTCCTTTCTGTTTCAGTGATGAGAAGTTTGTAAAAAGTTTTGAAGAGAAAAAGCCTTAGATGAAAGTAAATAGATAATTAAAATCACTTAAAAATGTTTTGTATAAACATCTTTTTCTAACTTTGTAAACAAAAATACACTAATCCTGTAGAATCAAGGAAATGGACCATTACTGCAAAGATAAAGCACTTTTCTTTCTTATATTGATCATCTGATTATATTTTAGTTATTCATCTGTTTATATTATATATAATTTAGTTACTTCAAATATAAGATAAAGACGAGAAATCATTTTTAGTATTCTGGTAAATGCTCGATCATTTAAAACAACTTTTATGTTAAGCATAAAACCTTGAATTTAGCAAATTTTTAATAATGTTGGTAATGAATCTTATTAGATTTACTTTTTCGATTACCTAATGGGTACATTTATAAAAATCTAAACAGAACAGCTATAGTCTGTTAATGTGTAAAGTGTCAGTACCCGCGTGGAACTGTAGCACCACCTTGTGGTTGATGTGCCAGTATTTTATCTTTTATCAAAACACGATTACTCATAAAACAGGGTCTTATTTTGACTTTGAAAAAACTCAGTTCCAGTTTTACAAAGAAACATTTTTCAAGCTTTCTTGTGGAAGACAAATTAAAAATTAATCCTGTTTGTCTCCAGCCTTTTTTCTTTATATAATGTGAATGTACATACACTTAATTTGAAACATTTGTAGTCTCCTAATTTACATACAAAACATAAGTATCTATTGAAAGTATAAAACATTTCCTATGTATATTATCATGTGGGAATCTGTAACGCAGATCCTTATATATTTAACAATTTAGACACGAACCAGTAAAATCAATTCATAAAAATACTATGTTTATACTTTCAAAGAATTTGTCTATGCTGTTTTAGCAGTATAATCTTTTGAAAAATAAAGCAAATTTAATTTCATTGAAGCAATTGACAAATTATTATTTTTTTAGAAATAGTAGAAAAGTAATTTTGTAAGTAATTTCTAACAATAAAATAGCTCCTTTTGATTAACTTGAAATTGTTGAGAAAGTGAGCCAAAGAGGTCCTGGAGACTGTGTAGCTCCTTAATGAACCCGTAGTTAATTGGAATTTTCACTACTTCTGTCCCTTTAATTCTTCTGGATACAAATCTTCTGGATAAATTTATACTGCCAGCAAAGCCTCACTGGCTGGTGCTGCCATCTGCCCATAACCTGAGTAGATCTGGGTGGGGGACCATGTAGGAAACTGGGAGAAATTGCATCCACCAAAACCTCTAAGCTCTACTACGCTGGAAAAAGTTCTATCATACTTGTTTTACTGCACTAGTTTAATGTGTTTTAACGTGTAACACATTCCTTACGAAGTAAAATTTAAAGACTTTGCAGCTGTGTTTCATGCCATTCATTACAGCTTTATATGATTGAGCAGCACTTGGGGAAGCATTAAAAAATAAAAGGACCTTGTCAGTTTTACAGACTACAACACTGTTTTGAGCTCAAATAACATTATAGCTTTAATTTTTACATTTAATGATCCCCAAGTTTGTCTTGGTCTTTTCTTTGAAGCTGAAGAATACAGAGAGAGTGAAGTGGTGGAAATGGTGCGAAACTTTACAAAATTAAAACTTAATTGTTATGTCACTTGGGCTTTAATATTTTGACTGAAAATGAAAATTACTTTTCTACTATTTCTTAAGCTACTTAACAAAAAGCTGGGAGACAGTACATTACTGACAGCAGTAGCAACAGTAAAATTGTAGATTTTTTTATTTTAAAGAAAAAAGATGGCACGTCATTTCAAAATAAGATCGTAGAGTGACAATGGATACTACACTGCATATTGTCTGCAAAGGGGTTGCTCATATTTCAAGATATAGGCATGAAAATTATCGAACAATATAAGCACAAATATTTTTAATGAACAAATGGCAATTACTAGTATACCTATTGGGAAAAATGATATATTTTGTGATTTATGTTTCTAATACAGGAATTGGACTATACAACTGTATTGCTCCACTATTGTATTGCTCCACTGAAGTTCACTAAATCATCAATAATTAAAAATAATTTTTTGAGACAAGGTCTCACTATGTTGCCCCGTTGATCTTGACCTTGTGGACCCAGCTGATCCTCCTGCCCAAGATTCCCAGTTTGTTAGGGCTATAGGCATGCACCGCCACACCTGGCTCACTAATAAAGTTTTTAAAATAGGCATGCACCGCCACACCTGGCTCACTAATAAAGTTTTTAAAATTATTCCTTTTTAATTTCTTAAAAATTTTAACGTAACATTTTCAAGTTTAGAACCGAGCTCTTGTGCAGTGACCATTAAAAAAAAATGTATAAAACAACTGTTTATGAAGATACTGGATTGATTAGTGGAACCTCTGTAATACTCCAACCTGTGGTCTACTTTGATATTAATATAGCATTCCAGCTTTTAGAAGATGTTATTACAATACTTCCCATCTCTTTTAATATATCTGTATCTGTGTGTTTAGAATGGATTTCCTGACAATAGTGCGTGGTTTAGCTTTGCTCTTTTACCCACTCCAAAACTCTGGAGTGTTTGGATCATTTACATTCAATTTGATTTTGGATTTAAATCTACCGCCTTTTAAAAATTTTATTTATTGATTGATTTTTACTGTTTGTACTTCCTTTGTATTACCTGTTTTTTTCCTGCATTATTTTGCTTAGTTTGAGTAAAAGTTTTTATGGCTTTTATTGACATCAAGTAGACTTCATCTGCTTTCTCTGCTTTGTAGTATATATCATTAACTTGTTATACAATGTCAATTTAAGAAACTTACAACAATATACTTTTGTCCTCTGTTCAGGTTTTTTTTGGTCAAATATTTGCTACAAGTGTTACAGACTCACAAAACTTCATCAGCATTCAAAGTCTTTAGAAATGTACCTACCTTTCGTATGCTACCTACTCCTTTTGCAAGTTCACATTTGCTTCTAGTACTTTTATCTGATGAGGTTCTTTAACTTTTCTTATAATGGTAGTTTGCTGGTGATAAATCCTAAAATAGCTTTATTTTAACTTCACTTTCAAAAGATGTTTTTGCTTGGTATTCAGTTTTACAATAATCTAGGTCAATCTTTGATCAGTTTAAAGATGAATATCTGCTATCCTTTGGTCTGCATTGTTTTTGATGCAAAATCTGCTGTCTTTATCTGTGTTCCTTATGGAGTTCCTTATCTGAGTTCCTTATGAATCTGCTTTGCTTCATTCATTCATTCATTGTACTGGAATTGAACCCTGGCCTTGGTGTTTTTTTATATTTGTTTTTGTTTTTTACTTAAAGACAAGGTCTTACTAAATTGCCATATTGCTCAAGCTGGACTCCTACAGGTGATTCTCCAGCCTAGACCTCCTACAGTGATGAGACTACCATCATGTGTCACGGTGCCTGGCTGCTTTCTTTTAAAATGTCTTTTTCACTGATAAATGTTTAGAATTAATGGAATCTTGGCAGATCTTTTTGGATAGATAATATATAAAAGCCAGTTTTGTTTCTGTATAGGAACAATGATAGAAATTAATCTTAAAAGGAACAGGTAATAAATAGTACAACAAATAGAAGATGTTTGTGAATATCACATAGAACATTATAGATAAAAATATAAAACCTAAGTAAATGGGGTGACATACAATCTTCATATTTGAATAAGTCAAAGAATTTAACTCACATAATTTGTAATTCCAGTGCAATTCCAACTAGCCTAGACATATTCCCTTAGAATTTAATATTGAACAGATTAGTTGAAAGAGATCCACAGCATAACTAAGACAATTTTGAGAGAAAACGGGTTGGGGGATTTGCATGAGATTTAAATTGCAAAACTATAATTAAACTGTAGCAATGTTTGTAGTGCAAGACAAAAGTAGCTCCCAAATGCTATAGAAAATGATGATAAACGCTGCATTACTGATTACTAGGCAAAGGGTGAACTATTCTGTAAATATAAAAATACCCAGCTACTTACATAGATGGGGAAAAAAATACAGGCTTGTGTTATGTAAATCATTTTCAGGTAATTTAAAGACAAAAATGAGGACAACGTAAGTGAAAATAAAGTCTAAAGAGCAATAGCAACATCACCTTCAGACTAAGTGCGTTTCAAAAATACTTTCAGATAATTATATGGATAATAAAGTTGGAGAAACACTGGCAAAGATAACACTGGAGTGAGAAAATAGTTTTTAAAACAAACTGCACAAACCATAGGAATAGAAATGAATTCAGTATTGAAATTAGAAGCTTCAATTATGGGTTAAAAATGCTAGTTTCCTAGAAGACTGGTTGTGAGGGTAGCTCTGCAAACATCAGGATGAAGATTACTCAGAGGTCATCCCAGTATCCTGTAATCATTTTAGGCATTTGACCATGGCTTAACTTAAACTGGCTTAAGCATGGAAGAGAATGTATTGGCTCACTGAACTGATGAGGAAGGGCAACTGTAACA